TTCTCTGCCAGTATACTTGAGAACATATTTTAAAGCAATTTACAAATATATAACTTATACATTGGCCGACATATTCGGCATATGGTTTGTTAGAGTAACAAAATATAGTATATAGGAGTCGGTGTGTAAAGTTATTATCCGATTTTGACAATTTTTAGCCTTAAGATGGCATACCTTAAAATCAGCTTGGTTTGTATACTGCGAATTGAAGGAAGCAGATGGAATTTAAAGTTGTGTTATATGGGAAGTAGGCGTGATTAGGTTCAGTTAGTTAGTTATCGCACTTTTAGTAGTTTTCATCAAAATCATTATACAATACATATGAGGAGTGGGCGGTTATCATCCGATTTCTCGTATCTTCAAGTCAAAAGGATTTGTGGTGAGGCATAGATTGAATGGTTTGGCAGATATAAACATTAAACCTATTAGCGAGCATGGCCACACCCACTTTTTAACGATTTTCAAACCACAGGTGCCCATCCTTAATTTGATTTGTTGTACGTAATAACAGTTTTGTATCTTAATTGTCGGCTTAGTTATGGCAATCCCATCTACAATACCAATGTTTTTATGGTGCCAAAGAACCTGTCCAAGTTTCATCAATATTTCTTAATTTTTACTAAAGGTATAGCTTGCACGGACAGACAGTCAACCGGTTTTCAACATGTCTCGATCCAGACCATTTATATATATATAACTCTATATCTATCTCGATTAGTTTTAGATGATACAAACAACCGTTAGGTGATCAAAACTATTATACTCTGTAGCAACATGTTTCAAAAGCATAATGATGAGCGTGACGAGCTGAGTTGATTTAGCGAAGTCCGTCAGTTTTAAGATATCGCTGTAAATTTTTGCACACATCCTTCTCTCCAAAGAGCTGCTTATTTCATTACAAACTGAACGATCGGAATCAAGTTCTTGTATGGAAAATTTCTATATCTTCACAATATATGCCACGGACTATTATCCACAGCATTACTACAATATCTGAATACATTTTTCAGATCGGACGACTATAGCATAAAGCTGCCATACAAACTGAACGATCAGAATCGTGTTCTTGTATGGAAAACTTTTTTATTTGATAAGATATCAACGGCACAATATGTGAGTCAATTTTTAAGATTGGATTACTATAGTATATGCCATACAAACTAAAAGATCATAATCAAGTTCTTTTAAGAAAAAACGTTTCTATTTGACAAGGTAGTTTTAAGAAATTTTGCACGGACTATTATCCCAAGCATTACTATAATATCCGGCCAAATTTTGCGGATCGGACGACTATAGAATATAGCTGCCATACAAATCGACGGATCAAAATCAAGTTCTTGTAAGGAAACTTCCCGAGATGCTTCCTTTTTTATATAAGAACACATTTTTCATATCGAGGTTATTTCAAGAATCACTTTATCGGAATTTTATTTATTTTTTAGTACTTCGTCCACAGCCATTTGCTGCCTTTTAAGATTTTTAAGACTTCGAACATTCTTCTTTGGTGTAATTTTGTGTATACACGTGCCATAAAATAATGCGTATAAAATCCTAATAAATCTTTACTTGACAATAAATACTTGGAATTTGGTTGAAATAGTCCCCAATATAATTAATTGATTATTATCTTGTATAGAGGAAGATTACATCAAGTGGACCCTTTATTGTCCACTAGATCATAAAAGTTAAGTCCATGTATGTAGTCATAAGTTGTAATGAAAAATTTATACCCCAAACGGTTTTTGAAAATTTTAATTTTAACAATAATTTTTTGTATTATAAAAATTTTAGGTACTTTCTATTAAGAAATAGTTTTTAAGTCAACCGTTAATCGTTAATTTTGGAAAAATGTATACTATAAACTCTCCTAAACTAAACTATCATGTTTCAATAGCTCTGACCTCATTTTTTTTAACTCACTTAAAAAATCTTCTTTAGTATATGTCGTTTCAACGATTTCAGTCCTGCAAAAATAGAAACGAATGTGTAAGATTATTAATTGTGTACAAAAAAATATAATAATATCTAGGCAAATTTATAAAATGACATTCGATGATTCTGTACAAATCATGTTAATGTGAAACATTTTTTTTTATTAATTAAGAAACCAAAGCAATCATTTTGGTAAATTTTGCATGCACACACATTATGTCTTCCGTTTTTTTCAGCTGAAATACATTCTCGTAGTCTTTGTTTTTTTTTTGTTCGGCTTAGAATTGAGCAGACAATTTTCTCATCCGCAAAAGCGGATTTATATACGTAAATCATTAATGTTAAATGATAAGAGTTCTTTTTGTTTCTAGATTTTTATATCATTTTCTAAAACCGTGACATATTCCTCAAATCCAGGCATCACACGGTTAATATCATATGACAAATAAAAATTTTTAAGTGATCAAGACTTCCAGACAAGATTTCCAGACTTTTATCTATTTTTGTATCAAGCTTTGACGTAAATCATGAACTTTTTTTTTAAATTTTTGGCAGCTTGAACTATTTTTTTCGAAACTTCGCATTCTCGGCGTATCATTTTTATTTGCCAATTGAATTAAAATGGTACGACGTGAAGTAATAGCCAGGACTTGAATTTTATCCGGCCTACTATTTGGTTGGTTGAAAGCACACCTTAAATTATTCAAAAGAACGTCAATTTCTTCGATTTCAATTTCTTAACAGAAGATATAATAACTTTTTTAATAGTAATTTATTATGCTATTTGTTAGCGTAATACGTTTTTAATTAATTATCTACAGTTTCACATTTGGAAGTTGAGTTATTCTTTGCATCATCTTTAATCTTATCAAATTCTAAATCAGTCGCATTGATTCTTATTTTGCTATTTACAGTTTTTTCGCGAGGCTTTTCAAGTTTACGCCCTAGATAAATTGATCTCTCACAAAAATTACATCCGATAAATTCTTTAAAATCGCAAGCTCGGTTCGAATCTTAATCTTAATTAAATAGCGCATGTATATAATAAAAAAAATCATATTTTTACCGACAAATCACTGAAGTTTTTAGTTATTATCTTAAAAGTTATCATATTGTTATGATTTAAAAAATTTTGTTTTATTATTATATATTTATTATTATTCTTAAACTTTAATAATTTATTTTTAAGGGTTGATTTAAAAACTATTTTTTTAATTAAAAGTACCTAAAAATTTCATTATAAAAAATTGTGAAATTTTGAAATTTAAAAAATTGTTTGGGGGATAAATTTTTCGTTGCAACTACATGGACCTAGTTTTTACTACCAAGTGGACAATAATGAGTCCATTTAACGTGATCTTGCTCATACTATATAACATTTTTTTTATTATTTAAGAAAATAAAATTTAAAGAAAACGAGTAAGTAGAACAAAAACAAAAAGTTACTATAATTTTCCTCACAAAAGTCTACGTACAAAAAAAATACCAAAAAATATATTTAAAAATTACTTGTTTTAGGTACTCTATGCTTTTAATCATTTTTGATAAGTGCTTTGACATAGTTCATTCATAGTTTCACAGCTGATTAGTTTGGATTTTTACTTTATTCATTTTGTGTTACTTCTTTGAGTTTCGATTTGAAAACTGCGTACAGTGTCGAACGATCCCACAATGGTGTTCGAATTGTTTAGATGTATGATATTATAACCACAAACACCCAGTTTCAGAAGTGCGATTTGGGTTGTTGTCCCGTTAGCTGTAGTAATCATCAACTCCCTGTTTCACGCTGTGTAGTTTTATTTATTTAATGTGCCATGTTTCCTCCACACCAACCTTCGCCTTTGATACCGAATACTCTTGTAAGAGAAAAACACAAAACACATTTTTCCACATTTTCTATGCTATGTACAATACATATGTTCACAATGTTTTTGTAAGTTTTTCAAATATCTTGAGCAAGCCTTAATACTGAAAATCTGGACTTTTGTGTACAGATTGCAAGACTTCTTCTTATTTATCCTATCAGCGGGCAACTCAAACGTTTCTTTCTTTGTGTTAGGATTAAAGTTTTTATCTTGAACCGATATTTCAAATATACATAGGCTTTTTCTGAGTTTCTAATAAAATTTAAAAATACAAAAACAAACAAGAAAAAACGTTAACATCGGCTGCACCGAAACTATAATACCCTTATGCATTTTCTATAGCATAAAAACATCTTTATATTGATTTTGATCGGCCAGCTTGTATGATAACTTTCTAAATTTCTTGAAGCTGTCTAGTCAAATAAAAAGGTTTTCCATACAAGGAAATCGATCAGTTTGTATGGCAGCTATACCTTATAGAGATCCTATATCGGCGGTTCCGACAAATGAACAGCTTCTTGGTAAGAAAATGACTGTACAAAGCTTAAGATCGATATCTCAAAAATTGAGACAATAGTTCGTATATATAGATGGCGCGTAGGACAGACAGACATAGCTAAATCCATTCAGCTTATCACGTTGGTCATTTACATATACATATACATATGTACATTCTTTATAGGGTCTTCGATGTTTCCTTCTGGGTGTTACAAACAAACTTGATATAATACCCTGTTCAGGATATAGTAAATACGTTAAATAAGGTACTAGATTGATGATTATTTAAAAGGTATAAACCTGTTTTCAAAAGTTAGCTCTTCACATCGAATATATTATGCAGTGTAAAAAAAACAATATCGAAATACTCACACTGAAATATTTGTTTTGATATTTAAACATTTTTATAATATATTGTACAATATATAATGTATGTCGGTATAATATGTTAGATGTTCGGCATTGAATTATGGGCTACAAATACGTGAGAAAACTAATGTAGATTAACACATATGTGTATTATCACCAGATAATGTAATTGGTTATTGATGATTATTAAAAAAATATTTTTGCCAAAAAAAATTTAGCAAAAACTATCTATATGCGTAGTTTCAACTAATCATAATACTAATTCAAAAAATCTAAAATATTTAATACCATATCTATTGACTGCTTTTTCACTTAGCACTATGTATTTTATTCTAGTTTGCAGAGTAAAAAACACCTCAGGACCTCAAATACGGCCAAATCATTTAGATACTCTCGATAAACTTATGGTGAATGAAGCACCAATAAAGTATGTTAATAAAGATAGCTGTTATGAAAACTTTGCAGTTATTGGTAAAAGAAAAAGAATGGAATCTATTGAACAACATTTGTTTCATTCAACAAGTTATCACTTGCCTATGAATTTGCGACTTAAACAAGCTGAAGATCGGATTTTACGCTTGGAATCGTTATCTCCGGAGTATTGTCATTTTATTGTAAGTACCATAAGCTCAAATACAAGTTTATTTACCATTACAATAAAAGTATAGTTTGTAAATAGGAAATATTTTTACCAATATATCTAAATAGCCAGTTTTAATTCTCTGAAAACTTTTTGAAATTCAAATAATATGTTAAACTGACGTTTATGTACATATAGTTGGGATCAAAATTAAGTGAACATTTTTAATAGAAAGCTTTATTATGTTATTTTTGATTTTATTATAGCTTATATTGAATTCATTTCCACTGTATGTTAAATTAGAACTTAAACCATATTCTTTTAATAACAAAAAAAAGTAATAACATATTGCAGAGAAAGGAAAATATAATGAATCAAAATTAAGTAAACATTTAATTTAGTAACCGCAATCACCACTGTTACAATACTTTTCACACATTTTTGCCTTTATTTCAGTTTTTAACTACGCCCATACAACAATTTTGACTTTATGAATAGGAGCTTTGTTCAGTTGAAAGATATAGTAATCTTCGCGAATCAATCGGCAGCCTTCAGATATGATGACTTCTTTCATTATAGTCTAAGAGCCAGTGGACGGCAGACTGTTTGTATTTTATCAAAGTTGATATTTTGCTTAAAGATTCTAAGCTAAGCGATGGTAGCTATGATGTCACTTAAGGTAATACAGATGCGTAAATTATGAGTGTTTCACAAGTATTTTAACAAACCGTTAAAGAGTACAAATGAATGCAACATGTAAAATTAATTGTTGAATAGTACCTCGTGGCAGACGTTTTAAAAATTTAAAAAATAAAAAATTAAAAAATACTTTAACAAATCTGATCTTAAGATATATTATTTTTAATACTTTTATTAACACGCTTATATTAGTTTCACTTGTATGTCTGTTTGTAACTAAAAAACTAAACTCAAAATATTGCAAATATTTTGCGCATACTTTGTAGTCGTGTTGGGTTTAGTTTGGTTAGCCCNTTTATCATTCCTTTCGAAATTGCAAAAATGGTTGAAATCGGATTATAACCCCACCTACTCCCCTTATAACGGTTATGCTGAAAACTAATAAAAGTACGATCACTCAATAAATGAAAGCGTCAGACACACTAAATTTTGCACTCAAGATAATATAAAAAAGCTTTGTAGGAGTCGATAGGAAAATTGGATAGTGAGCGTGGCACCGTCCATATCTAGGTGAAAACCCATACATAACATTATCCTGATATTCCTATGTTACAAGATGGGCGAAATAGGACTACAACCACTCCTCCTTTCAATATAACATAATTTTAATTTCCATTTGACATATCCGGATTCCTCTAACATAGCGCTTCCCAAACTTCAAAAAGCTTTTTAAAAGTAAAACTTTTTCTTCAACACAGTAAAGGGTCTTTTTTCCTTTTATTTAAGCTTATAATTGTGGCATATTTTATGTTTTCTCCTTTGTTCTAGTACCAAGGATGCGGAAAAGTGTAAAGATTAAGAAAATATTTTTCGTGTGCAGACCTCTCCAAAGAATTGAAAAATATTTGGATGTTTACCATCCAACCATGAAAGGTTTATTGACACTACGAAAAATCAAGAGCAATTCGGCGAATCATTGACACGCTTCCACGGGAAGTTTGTGGTTGCAGTCCGATTTCGCCCATTTTCGCACTATAACATGGGAATATCAGGATAATGTTCTATTTGGGTTTTCACCGAAATACGGACGGTGCCACGCCCATTATCCAATTTTAATACCGACTCCTACAAAGCTTTTTTATATTATCTTGAGTGCAAAATTTAGTGTGTCTAACGCTTTCATTTATTGAGTGATTTTACTTTTATTAGTTTTCAGCATAACCGTTATAAGGTGAGTAGTGGGATTAATCCGATTTCCAACCATTTTTGCATTTCGAAAGGAATGATAACA